TGACTGTCTAGCCAAGTGCTGGGCAGAAGATACGCTTGAACCGTTGAAAGTCAGGACGGATACAAGTGTGGTATGTGTGGTGTTCGGAAGCAAGATGAAGGAACGGCAGCCTGGCTGCAAGAATGGATGTGAAGTCTATATACGTTCCAGCGCTTGGGCCGTCTGGCGGCGAACAGATTTTGATCTGCGGGAAAGCAGAAGTGCGACTAGCAGGCTAAGTCGTCAGCAGCAAGCGGCAGCGACAGCAGAAACGATCAAGGTCACGCACACTCTTTTGTCGGACTCTGGCTCCACATTTGGCGGCAGCGGCAGCGGCAGAGACGCGAGATGCCAAGGATATGGCCTCACAATCAACGCCAGCCAGCCAGCCAGTCAGCCACCGAGACGGCGATGAGTGGAAATGGAGTTACGCTTCAGCAAAAGGCTGTCTCGGCCCATCGGGCAGGCTCCTCCGACCACAAGAGAGACCGAGTGAAAAGTATGACTGGCTGCTTGCCTGCTGCTGTCACTCCACTAAAAAGGCTGGCCTCTTGTCTTCTGACGGGAATCAAAAGAAAAAGCGCCACGCTCTTGTCACTGAGATGCAGATCGTGGCATTTACTCTCACTCTTTCTCTCTCATTCTTTCCTGCGTGCGTGCTTATGGGCGTGACCATGTCGGTCTTCGTTTCTCTCACTCTACTCTCGCATACTGTACAGTACAGTACTGTACATGTTTGCATTTTTTTTAAAAGATAAAAAATAAAATAAAACTTCGGTGAATCAGTGCGGATGACGGTCAGTGTTGGCCTGAGCGGGGAAAATCTGAACCCCACGTCCCAAGAGAGTGACGAATCTCATGCTGTAATCCTGGACACCGCTGCACGGCTCAAACAAAGTCGGCGACCTCTGTCTCTCTCCTCTTCTCCTTGACCAGTACTGTACTGTACCTATGGTGATCGCGACAGGTGACTGACGACAAATGACCGTCCTAACCTTGGCTCAGACTGTAGACGTTCCCAATTGACTGGTTTGGTTGATTGATTCCCCGGCAGTGCAGCGCTATGGTGCCGAGATGCGCCTAGCAGCGCAAACACTCTTCAACCCCGCTCGCCGCTCCAGCCCTTTTCTCTCTTGTTGCTTTTCCGCAATGCTTCCTTCTTAGATCCTTGAGCTCCGCTGTGGGTGGTATTGTATTGCTTGTACTACCAGCCTGCTTCCACCCCGGATCCCGCTGGCTGGTTCACCGTCAGTTGGAGATGCCCCTCTCTTTCCCCAACAGAGAGCCAATCTGCTCGTCGGCCCAACGCGGGCCTTGCAGTGTTGCATGACATCCAGCGCAACAATGCCAGTGTCGGTAAGCTTGACCCCATGTTCCACTGAATGCATCGATGTTCTGGGCCGTCTCCGTCCGCTACAGTCTCCCTTCTTGCTTCTGATCATCGCCCTGTTCTACTGATGCACGAGTTGTGTGGGGTCACGATCACTCTACTGCTTCTTTGTAAGGGTGAATCCTTCAAAGGTCCCGTCAAAAGCCAAGCAACCTGTCTTTGGCTGTCCATGCCATTGGATGCTGTGCCTTAGCTTGCTCGGCTGTTGTTCAAAACTAAATCAGCGGTCTCGGCACACGTCACCACAATCAAGTGGAGAAAGACCACCCCGTACGATCACCCTGCTCACATCTCCTCTCGATCTCCAACACACGGCCTATCAACAGAATCTTTCGGGGATGTGCCTCACCTCGCAAGCTGAGATTGCCATGAATTGGAACTCGCAGAAACATAAGGTATTGTGGATGCGAGGGGAGGCGTGTTGAGGGAGAAGCTCTCTTGTTAAAGCCAACATTAAATCCTATTTCGGCTAAACCGTCAAAACGTGGAGTGACGCACAGACATCTCCATCGTCGAAATGCACAGTATGGTTGGACAGTCCTGTGCAATGCGATTGTGGCTATGGGTCATCGTCGTATGATGTTTGCCTGTGTCTACATTTCAAGATCAGATCGTGTTTCCCAACATGTTGACATGCACGAGCCCGATCTTGATCTCCTTGGCTCCGAGTGCCTACCGCTGTCTGAGAGGAAAGGCTTTTGCAAACAAGGCTAGATTCTGTGCGTTAGCGGACACCTACTGTACTTCTCTTCTTCTTGATCTCCGACGGTATCCGCCGCGCAAGCTCGTTGCGGTCACTGCATCCACACAGTCCATGCAACAGCGTGTCTGAAGCCCGATTCATGCATCATGTGTCTTCTTTCCGGACATTGTCACTGTTTACTACTGTATATTGTTCAATCGCCTCTTGGGCGTGATCACGTCGGGCAATCTGCGTGTGTCATCCTCAAGCCTATTTACTGTAGCCGGCTGGAGCATCGGCTAAGAAGACTTGGATATGCACATAGCTGCACTAAGAAGGGGCGTGCTGGATTGGACTTATGCCAGAGATCTACCGACCAAACAAGTCATGCTTGTTCCACGAAGTTGGCGCTTGAATTCAGTTATAGCCTATGCCGCCAAAATCGGATCGCTCGTCGGACAAAGATCCGAAAATTTGTCTGCGTTGATGTCCTCGTGGCTTGCAACAGCTACCTGTCAGATTTCAAAGACTCTTGTTGCTGCCATCATCCGATTTGTCACCGCCACATCCGCGTCAAATACATACACAAAGCGCCGTCTAGAGTCTCCTTGACCTTTATCTGCGGGTTGAGCAAGCCAGCAATTCACAGTCGAGATCCAAGAAAGTACTAAGAAGTTTGCGGGAGAGCAATCCGTTGAAGCGGCCAAGCGCGGAAGTTCGGAACACGGATAGAATTTCTCGCAGGCAAACGCGTTTCGCAGGGTCCACGCCAATGCTTCTCGCTGTCATCTTTAGGCTAGATTCCACCCCACCACCTCACATAGGGCCAACTAGCCACCATTGATCGACAACAACATGGACGGCCAAGCAGAAGGCTCTTCACAGCACAGGCGAGTCCTCCTGCCACCTCGCTCCGAGTATCGTTTCGAGCTCGAGCCGCACGAACGACTTTCTATCCGACTCGTTCAGAACCGCACGCAGACCGGTGAAGAACCTGATGCAGAGATCTTTGGAGCTGAACTCGTCGGGGGTACACAAGATCGATGGTATCCCTTCGGAGATGAGGCTAAAGCTGCTGTATCTTCCTGGAGAGGCGCCGAGATCGAGATCGCTGGATCCGCCTCTACAGAATACCTCGCTGACGAACCATCCCCAGTCTACACGGCCTATTCCAACCTTCACCTCTACCTCGAGCGCAAACGAATCGAGGCACGACAGTCACTGCGTGCAGATGCCAAGCTACTATCGACTCTAGCGGGTTCCGTCCTTGACCCGAGCTACATTGCCCCTCGCACAACAGACCAAAGCACCGAGACCGAATCCGATCCCAGCGGCACTGCTGCATCGACCGTATACAGACCAGAGGGGCAGGGTCCAAGAGTCATGGTTCTCGGTCCAGAGTCGGCAGGCAAGACGAGTCTGGTCAAGTTCCTCGCCAACTATGCTCTCCGTTCGCCCGCAGTTGCGAGCTTGGGCAAAGGCGAGGCAGGGAAAGTCGCAGAGAGTCTTCGCACGGGCGGAGATGGAATCATCTACCCCAACATGGAACAAAACCTTTCTGAAGAAGCCAAGAAGGCAAAGCGCCAAGAAGAGAAGCGCAGTGATATCACCGGATGGTGGCCAGTCGTAGTCAATCTCGACCCGAGTGATGGTGCGCCGCCATTGCCGTGTTGTCTCTCCGCCTTGCCGCTTTCACCACTTCCCCTTGCATCGCTGCCTTCGCCCTCTCCAGCTTTCCCCTTCGGAACCAACACCAGCACCACAGGAGCCATCCCGCCAGGCACATCCACCGCCCACGGCGTCGCTCCCCTCTCCCTCTGGCTCGGCAAAGAAAATGTGCGCGAGAACGAGCGCCATTTCCGCCGCGTCGTCGACTGGCTGGCCGAAGGCGTCGAGCGACGGCTTGCGCGCGATTTCCGCTCGCGCATGTCGGGTCTCCTCATCGACACTCCCGGCGTGATCACCGCAGACGCAAGAACTAAATACGCCTTCATCCAACACTGCGTCAGAGCTTTCAAGATCGATACCGTCGTTGTCCTCGGCCACGAGAAGCTCAACCTGGAAATGACCAAGATCTTTGGCAACCCCACAGTTGAACCGCTTGAGATTCCAAACTCCCACGGTCAGAAGCTGCCCAGAGTCAATGTTATCAAGTTGCCCAAGAGCGGTGGTGTGGTAGAGTTGGACGAAATGTACAGAGCCCGTTTGAAGGCGTTGCAGGTCAAGACGTACTTCTATGGCGGGTCGAGCACTTCCACTGCAAATCAGGAGGGAGGCGTACCAAAAATGGTTCTGCCTGGACATGCTGATCCGTTGGGTGGAGTGCCTTCGCTCAGTCCCTACAGCACTACGATTCCCTTTGATTTGTTGGAAATATACAAGGTCGGGCAGGAGAGCCTGGCTCCATCGTCGGCGTTACCCATTGGAGCGTCCCGAACAGTCACAGAGACCCAGCTGGTCAAGTTGGACCCAACCAACTCGGCTGCGGACCAGACCAGCTTGCTCCACAGCGTACTTGCTCTGATCCAGCCGCCCAGAGGTGGTGGAGGCGCGGGACAACCAGACTCTTCCACCAACCCAACAGACGATGAAATCATTGGTGCACCCATCTTAGGCTTTGTCCACGTCGCTGACATCGACACGGTCCGTAAGAAGATCACTGTACTCTCGCCTAGCACCGGAAGGCTCCCATCAAAGACGGCCATCTTGGGTTCTTTGGATTGGCAAGACGTCTAATTCCACGGTGCTCTGTTGTGTACTTTTCAATACTCTAATCGTTCTTTGACAACGCAGCCCGTTCTCCTCTGTTCTCCTCCGTGCTTTGCCTGTGCTGAACAACCATTTGAATATGCTGGTAGACATCTCTGTCGATAGAAAGGATGATAGATCAAGAACAAGAGAGAAAGTCCAAAGAAGGCGAAACAAAGTGAAAAAAAAAATCCAAAAGATTGCGCCGAAGGGGAATCGAACCCCTATCGCCTGCTATCAAGCTTCTATCACTTACTGGAAGGCAAGCATTCTAACCATTAAACTATCGGCGCTTGATTGTGTCTGCTGCAAGAAGCTTTTGTTACATATACACATCGCACTGAATTTTGATTAATCATGCTCTACGATGTTGCTTGGCAGCACCAGACCGTTTGTTCTAAGCTGTCATACACACATGTAACATGTAAGATTGAAGTCATCATGATCATGGCTATTCTTGGTTTCACACAGTGACACTCATTGCTGCTCAAGAGCCAAGTCCAGTATATTTGGTCACAGCCACTTTGCCTCAGACAAAACTAGCCTGAATGTCTTTCCAGCTGTGTAGAAGCCAAATGAACTCAAAATATTCAAGAGGATTTGAACATTTAATGGGAATCTTGAGTCACCTTTGTAAAATACACTTTGAATGCACTGACTGTTAGGTTCACACCCTAGGCCCCACAGCCTGGCTAGAAAGCCATGGAATTGTCCACTGTGTCAGGAGCAGCAGATCTCACATGGGGGACACTGCAGGGTAAGCACAATTCCACAGCCATTCAGTCCTTAATAGTTCTCCCCCCCAAACAAGGAGCCCTCCTTGAGGCCTTCCTTGTTGCATGTATTGCTTAGTTAGCTCATCTAGGCCAACAGAGGTGTTTGCACACCTTCCATGGACTCTCCTGTTCCATCTGTATTCCACAACCTCTCTGTACCTGAGTTCCCCTTGTCCTGACCATGGCTGCTGGTGGACACTCTCCACAGCAGTTCTTCAAGACCCTATGGTTCTGACACTTTTATGTCTCTTGCTGCATCTCTCATTGATCCCCAGCTCTGTCCTTTGCATTGCTTGTTGTGCACCAATCACTGGTCTGAACTTTGCATCTTGTTAAGAGGGCCCTAGGGGTCTAAATACTGTGGAGTAGTCTTACGGCCTAGGACAAGGATGGAGCTTGTGTGAGCGGTGCACACAGCCACTGTAGGTGGGGAAGGATCTACTAAGACAAGGGACAGGGGTACAGGACCCAGCACCCTGCGCTGGCGCAAGGCCACCTGCGCCCTGCAGCATTCTTGGCCGAGTGGCACCAGGCACATCAGGCCGCTGAGTGCAACTGTTGGGTTGGCCTAACAGGCAGCAGTACCTTCAACAAAGAAGGCCACTCCAGCCTTATCACTTTTGCCAACAGGGTCCCATCTGAGCCTTAGCTCTTCACTCTTCTTCATCTTCTCTTGTTCCATGAAAATTGTCTCTTCTTACAGTTAAAAGATTTTCTAAGCTTGGCTTTGCATTCTCTTTGCTCAACAATGAATTGTTTGACTACATTCTTTGTGATTGGTTGTGTGTCTCAATTTGCATGAGAATTGACTCAGTTGTATTACTAGAAGAGAGAGTTCCAAGAACTCTTTCAATCTTTCACACTTTCTCCAGACCTGTTTCTTTTTGAGACTGATCCCAATTTTCACCACAACCTTTTTCTGGGCTGCAAAGCACTGGCTTTGAGGTCAGTGCTTGTGTGATGATGATGGTGGGAGAGAGAGAGAGAGAGAGAGAGAGAGAGAGAGAGAGAGAGAGAGAGAGAGAGAGAGAGAGAGAGAGAGAGAGAGAGAGAGAGAGAAAGAGACAACAACAAGTCCCAACAGATAGAATGGGTGCACATGCACTTGTTGTCTATGAATTAAAATGGCAACAGGTTTTGCTGCTGTGAAGATTGAGTGCAAAAATTGTTGCTGAAACAGTCATTTGCCACCTTGTGGATGCAAAAGCTCAACTCCGCCTCGCAGCTTTTACAGTATATGCAGGCCATTTTCTGAAAAAAGAAAGTGGACCTGGCAAACCCCATTATTCTTTCCGCAAAAGATCAACATGGTGGAAGGCAAGCCTCTTACCTTTGAACTATCGGTGCAAACTTGTTGAAGTTGTCAGCGTTGTGATACATGTACATGTCTTTCCCATGTTGATTGACAAGTAAAAGCACGTCCCATGGCGATGCTCTGCCATGCATAGACAGACGCAAGAGCGTCTTGCACACTCACAAAAGAGCAATACACGAAAGAGATCAAAGATGGATTGACAGCTGGTGGTACAGAAGATGAACGTTGATACATGAGCGCAAACTGCGTGATGGTGAGACTTAGTCCTCATACACGCCTGCGACGAGACACAAGTTTCTCGGAGTGAAATGTACATCCAACACTGGCGTCCTCTTAGTGTGGAAGGTGGCCACGCAATCCGCGCTAGTGTTGATCAGATCCGCTCCGTTCGTCTGACTTGCTGCTGTTGCGCTCGCCAGCCCTCCGCTCGCCAATTGTACTGCTGTTGGCGCGCCTCCTCCGCCTCCGACGGCTGTCGCTGCTGCTGCTTGTTGCGCCTCCAACGATCCTTTTGCGAGAGCCTTTCGCGCGCCTCCAACCGAGCGGACATCCCAGCATCGAACGCTACAATCCTCACTACCGGTGACCAGCAGTGATCCGTCGGCGGAGAAGTCCATCGAGTAAATGCGCTCACTATGACCCCACATCTTCTTGATCCTTCTTCCGCTTGCCAAGTCCCAGAGAGAAATGGAAACATCGTTGATGTGAGCTCCTTTCGAGGTCGGGTCGATACCATCGACGCCAGCGAACTGTGATACGGTACCGTTGCCTGCGGCTGCGGAGGCGAGGTAACGGCCATCCGGGCTGATCTTGAGACAGGAGATGGGAGATTGGTGCCCCACAAACAGTCGGACACATGCTCCCCGTTGAACATCCCACAATCGACAGCTTCGGTCAGAAGATCCCGTGGCAAGGTAGAGGCTATTCGGGTGGAAGGTGAGACAGTCGACATCGGATAGATGGGCAGCGTACATGCGCAGCGGATTGACCCGTTCCGTGCTCCACAGCCGTGCCGTCTTATCTGCAGAGGCCGTGGCGAAGTAGGTGCCGATCGGGCTCCACTTGATGTCCCACACTGGATGCTGGTGGCCCCTGTACGCAACTAGGGCGCTGTACGTGTCGAGGCTCCACAGCCTAGCCGTCGCGTCTGCAGAGCAACTCAAAAGGTGTCTGGGCGCCGAAGCAGACCCTCCAACAGGATCGAAGTCTACCCCGTACACAGGGCCCGAATGACCAATCAATCGCCTGGTGGAATACGACTCTGCCTCGCGTTGCCTCGCCAGGGTCCTGCTGTCGCGAATCGAAGAGAGATTGGGATTGCCGCGAATGCCACGTAGCTTCTCGCCTTTGAGCGACCATACTTGGACGAACGATTCTTCGAAGCCTGCAGCCATGAGCGTAATATCGTCTGAAAAGGTTGAGCATGTGATGCCGTCGTCTGCGTCGTGAAAGGTGTAAGCGCAGACCGAGGGCAGAGCAGCTACACGGGCAGCGTGAGCTCCTTGCTCGCCCAGGGTGTTGATGGTAGGGTCGCGTACGCCCGAGCTGAAGGTAGACGATGTGGAAGAGGATCCGTTGAGCAAGGATGGATCGAGACGAATGCGTTTGCGGGCGTCGCGGATGCGCTGGACCTCGCGTTTGACGTCGACGGTGCGGAAAGTAGGTGCTTGTGGTGGAAGGTCGGTGATGCTAGCTGCAAGCAAGCCGACAGAAAAGTCGGGACCATTGGAATTGCTTGGCCTTGTGTCAGCGGCCGCATTAGGTGGAATAATTCCCGGAGCCGAAGCAGGTGGTTCCGACGGACGTGCTGACGCCGTTCTGGCCCTTGTTGCATCATCCCCATCCTCGGCAGCGTCTGCGGCGGTGGCATCCTGCATAGTTGTATCCCCATCTGGGTCCTGGTTGGCGTTGCTCGCCTCGCTGGCTTCTTGCACTGCGCCGGCGCCAGCTGTGGCAGAAGCTGATGCCTCGGCATTCTTACTCTTGGCCTCGTCTGCTTGTACTGCAGCGATGGTCTCTTTCTCGCGGCGCTCTACTTCCTGCAGCTCCTTTTGCACCTCTGTCTCTAGCCTTTCTGTCAAGGGCACGGATGGATGAAGCTTGAGCTGCGGTCCGGCGGCTTTCGCATTGAACTCGGCGAGTGCATCGCCCTCCGAGACAGCGTTCTTTGCCAACGAAGCGTGGATGCGGCTACGTCCTGCTGTGCCCGTGGTGACACTGGAGTACGTCGGTCCAGCACCCGTGAGACCAGTTCCCTCTTCCAAGACAGCGGCGTCAATCTGGTACGGCTGAGCAGCAAGCACCTGGATGCGACATCGCTCGTTGATAATTTTGAGCATGGCTTCCCGTCCACGCCTTGCGGGTCCCTCTGCTTCTTCCGAGCCGCTCGTCGAGCCCGAGACAGGACCACCTCCGTCGGTCAACCAGCCAAGGAGAAGGCTAAAGACGGTATTGGACATCTTGACGACATAGCGTTCGGATCGGAAGCGCTGTGCGAGAGCATCTGACTGGATGTGCGACGGAAGAGCAAGCGAACGAATCTGAGAGAGTAGTGCAGTATGGGTCGGGAGGAACGACGGTGCATGTGCAGTGTACAAGGCAGATGCGGCTGGACCGTGTCCCATGAGCACGAGGTCGAGGAACGAATGGACAAAGAGTGGCAGAAGGATCGGAAGCAGCTCGGGCTGGTAGATATCGAGACTTCCTTGGCACCAGGATTTGAGCATGGCAAATCCCCTGGCGCGGTCGGTTGGGTCGAGTAGAAGAGCTTGTGTCGCTGCAGCTGAGACATCGCCATCCTCTGCAAAGGTGAGATCTGCATCCGCGGCTGCATGCTTGTCTTTGGCTGCAGTATCATTACCCTCCTTGTCCTTGTCACCATCCTTGTCGGCAAGCGTTCTCGGCGCATTCTTGGCTGCGAGATCCTCAAGGCCAACGGTGGGAGCACGACCAAGCACATCGGCAGCTGCGGCTGCTTGCTCTGCAGTGGCACCAGAAGCCAATGCGTCGAGCTCAGCCTTGAATGCAGCTTCCACTCGATCGAAACCACGCTTTTGAAGGTATGCAAGCACGGCAGCTGTCATGTCGGGGCTGCTAAACACGCTCCCAGCCGCAGCTTCGTTTGTGGTCACTGCTGAGCCGGATGCACTGGAAGCATTCGCCACCGGAATTGAAGTATCCTTTCGTGTTTGCGCTGCCGAAT